ATGACCAGTAATTAACAATCTAAGGGCTAAAATCTTGACACAGTGATATTATGAATTTTACATACAGAGATATAAATATCATTTAGTTTGTTCTTTACATAAATACATTGGGAGCAAAGATTATGTTACGCCAATCTACCAAGAATACATTTTAGTGGTTGATTGATTCGCTGATTTTGGGTTATTTAATGTCGAATTTGTATGGGCCACGCAGTGAGGATCGAACTCACTTCTCAGTATTAATCGTCAAATATTAAATTACGACGAAGCGCCTCAAGAATGAATGGCCTATTCACCCTAGAGAAAGTGAGAGAGAGAGAGAGAGAGAGAGAGAGAGAGAGAGAAGGAGAGAGGGAGAGAGAGAGAAGGAGAGAGAAGGAGAGAGGGAGAGAGAGAGAGAGAGAGAGATGAACGGATTGTGCTTGAAGTGTCAGTTTAGTGTAGGGAGATAAGTGAGCGTCGCCTTTTCAATCGGATCCGACTGACCTCTAACCTTTTTGTCATGCCATGCGGAATAAATTTCAAACAGTGCCATCCACTAAAGTGGCCAGTTGACGAGAAAAGGCGATAAGCTTGTGACATTCCGGAATAATTGCACTGCTATTCCGGGAATGTGAGAATGAAAGAGATCAGTCTCGGAGTCAATTGACAGAATAAAGACGTATTTAAAGTAACATGGTGGTACGTTGCGCAGTCCTCTCATTTGTATACACAAACGCACAACCACAAAAAAAAAACATACATACATACATACATATTTATCTATCTATCTACCTATCTAAACACACACACACACACACACACACACACACACAAACACACACACACACACACATATAGATTTTTTAAGCATTTTGCCCCAAGCAAGGCGGGAGTGCCACGAGTACGTAACGGGTTATAGAGAGTCAAAGTGAGGGAAAAGATTGGGTATAGGGGTGGGGATTGAGGAAAGGATAAAAAGAAGAACGAGGATCAAGGCATTAGAAGATTATGATTGACGTTATATTTAAATTTTGAAGATTATAGTTGTCAGGGAAGGAAGTAAGAGGAAGGGAGTTCCACTGTCGGGAAGTGCAAGAGAAGAAGGTGTTGGAGTAGAAGATGCGGTTATATTTAACTGTTTCAACAGTAAAAGGGTGGGACCTAGATGCCAACCTGGTAGCACGCTTAAATTCATGCAGAACCGGGACACCAGAGAAAATAGCTCGTCATAGCAGTTGCCATGAAAATATTTGTAGAAAAGACAGAGGGAAGCCACATCACGCCTGCGAGAAAGTGACTGGAGTCGAGATGCCAAGTCAGGACTGATAACATTGCAGATCCGTCTTTGAATTTTGTTGAGCACCTCGAAATGAACAGCAAAGGCTTCAGACCACATATGGCAACAGTATTCAATGCATGGACGAATGGTAGATTTGTAGATGTGTAGGATGGACTGAAAGGAGAAAAAAAACTTCTGTCACGACACAGTGAACCAACTTCCCTTGCGAATATAGAGTGGAGGAAACAAATATTCGTACGCATAAATTTTTAATTTATTGTATTTCCAACTAATAAATAAGCATACTTTTCATATAATTAACTGTATACAGATGCATAATAACTAAATATGCATAGAAAACAGAAAAAAGGATTTAATAGAAATAAATTCCATTTATCCATTTTAATGGATGAAAAAGTATTATTACTATTATTGTTATAATAATAATAATATTATTATTATTATTATATTAAATTATATTTGTTATATAGGAATAAGCTGTCGCTGGTGACTCCTGAGTTTGAACATAGATCGCCAGTGAGCAAACACAGGCGACCCCATTATTGAATTAAGTAGACCAAGTGACCACAGAGGAAACGCACATATGTAGGGAGTAGTAAGTAGACCACGTGACCACAGAGGAAACGCACGTATGTAGGGAGTAGTAAGTAGACCACGTGACCACAGAGGAAACGCACGCATGTAGGGGAGTAGGCAGACCACGTGACCACAGAGGAAACGCACATATGTAGGGAGTAGGCAGACCACGTGACCACAGAGGAAACGCACATATGTAGGGAGTAGTAAGTAGACCACGTGACCACAGAGGAAACGCACATATGTAGGGAGTAGTAAGTAGACCACGTGACCACAGAGGAAACGCACATATGTAGGGAGTAGCTGACAACTAACGATCGTTATTTCTATTCTATCCTCTATTACTCTACAAAGCGATATTCTCTACTTTATTCACTATACTATCTCTACTATTCGGATGACTATTCGGTGGTTAGTTTTTCGAGCGAGTATTATCAAGCAAGTACTATTAGTGCGAGTGTTATTCGAAGGCGTCTGACACCAGTATTGTTCAACGGCGTTACTATAGGGATTACAAAGTCTCTACTACAACGATCGTTATGAAAGTGACAACAATTATTCGTTGGCGTGACAAAAGTGGCAACGAGTGTTCGCTGACATCACAAAAATATTAGATATTATATTATTACTAATAACTACACACCAGCCCCAAACTAAAGGGACCTCTGCTTCAGCTGAGAAAACAGCAAGGATAATTTTAAAGAAATTACTTTGAATTCCTGAAATCAAAACCTCACTTTAACTCTGATTCAAGCTATAAGTTCAGTCTCAGACAAAAGACACATTTGGGCGGAAATTCCATTTCAAATTTAAAAATGAGTTCTTCAAATCACAAACTCCGTGGAACTTCAAAATCTCACGTCACGAAACGTCTCACTTTAACTCTTGATTCCTTGGAATTTTGAAGAAATACAATTGGCTTCCTCAATTCAAACAAAATTTTTTAAATTCACAAAGTTTTTGTGTTACTTTAAGCACAATATAAATTAAAAACTTTTTTTTTCAGTTATTTTAAAATTTGACTTTTTAACTGTTCCCTCCTCATCCGGACACAATTCTCAATGCTGAATGTTCGAGAATCAGGTGAAGGGCAGAATTTCAATCCCAGGATCATCCTGATTCCAAAAAGGTATAATGTGTCTATGTAGAGTAAGTTTTGCCCGAGTTTCAGACATAAGGACGGACAGACAGAATTTGCCGTTTATTTATTTAGATAGAAGAATATATTATATATTAATAATAAATTATTAATTATTATTAATAATTATTATCATTATTATTGATTTTTTATTTAATTTTAAAAATTCTGAAGATTTTCTTTTTCAAGTTCTTTTAAATCAATTCTGTGCTTTGCCGAAACAGCGAAATCCATATCATGTTTTCATATCTATCTGGTTTTCTTAGCTGGATTAGCCTACGATAAAATCACGCAGAAAAAAATGGTTCTCGTTCGATCACAGAAGATTTTTTTTAATACTAATAGTCACACTATACAAATATCAAGAACCACTCAGATTTAAGGGTTACTGCGTGGTGGTGTATGAGGGTAAGTGTTATGGACGACCGATAGCAAAAAGGTTTTTTCGATATATCTATCTATATATATATATATCCTCTGCGTAGAATTCGTTTATATATATATCGTATACTGTTATATAGGACCAAGGAAGAACAACACGAACACGAAATAACGAAGGTTTATTACACGAAATAATAATACAAGAGGTGGAAGGTGTTCGTATGACTGTCAGTCTGGTTTGAGTGAACTACTATCGGCTCGGATTTGATAGTTTAACACTGGCCCAAGGGAAAAACAAGGCCGAACACAAGCCCTGTAGGCTCGGTAAAAATAGAAACGTAAAACAGAATATTGGTCAACCTCCCGAAATAATAATCTGCTCAGAGGCAAGAGTTGTGGAAGGTGATTAGTATCTGCAAACCCCCTCCCCAGTCTGGTTTTGGCACAAGGCCGAGTTTAACGTGGGTTTCGGCCCGTAGACTCGGCCAAAAATGCCCGTAGAAACCGTATAAACGGGATCGGGTTGGTCAAGGAACGAGATTTGCCCTTCGGCGGGCTTCGTCTGGGAACTCTGCTCAGAGGCTCGGTTCGACCAAAAAGAAGCTCGGCTCGAACCCGTATAGCCGGGATCGAGGGTTGCATGGCGGCACAAGGCCGAGTTTAACGTGGGTTTCCCGAACGAGGCTCGGCAAAAAAAACGGGATCGGTTGGTCAGCCTCCCGAACCGACTCTGCCCTTCAGCGGAGCCTCGTCCGGGGCTCAGAGGCAGAGAGTTCGACCGTCAAGCCGAGAAGCTCGGCTTGATTCGATCCCCTTTCTTAAGAGGCGTAGTATACATGGTGTTAGGAAGAGTTCATTCTGTAGTTATAGGGCCCATGACAGTAAGAAAAGGCGAGAAGTGCAGTTCATGAGGTTATTTATGTGGGAAAGATAATGGTCAACCCTAGACTTGAAGACGTCAAGATTGTAGTGATCAGGACACCATCCCGCCGGGTTTCTATTCTAATGAAACTGAACTTGCTTCTAATAATGGAACATGCATGGAATGAAGATGGCTCATCTATGTGCACGGGGTATGGTGGGTCCCAGCTGCAAAGATCAGGGCTCGTGGGACCAAGGAAGGTAGCTGCCCAGAACACTTGTCATGGAAATAGCGATAGAGTAGCGGGAGGCTTAAGAGGTTTCGTCTGTGGGAAAGTGGACGCAGGATGGAAAATAATTCATCACCCACAAGTCCGCGAAGACGACTTTGAACTCTATCAAAATATGGCAAGAATAATTCATTTTTCGTCTTATCTGGCTCTTGTAAAGACAGAATATAATCGGAGGAGTCAGATACTTACTTGAGGGGTACAACAGGCCGACCATTTTCCATGTTTTCGCAATATAACGTCAAGCCCGGTCAGCATTTACATGGGGAGGGTCCGATTGGAAGCACCGGGTAGAATAAGCAACGGTCTTCGATACGAAATGTTTTAGATGTTAAATAATCTACAAAGGGTTGATAAGCCGTAAAAAAAATCAAACCAAGTTGCGTGAACCTTTTAAATGTGAAAATCGCAGGGGATTTTGTATGCTTCATTTTTTCAAAGAGTTTCTGGTCGGTGTTGTAAGAATAGCAGGATGCACAAGTTGTCAGGGGATCACCATCCCTACCCAATCATGTAAGAATGTAGTAGATTGCACAAGTTGTTAGGGGATCACCATCCCTACCCAATCATGTAAGAATGTAGTAGGTTGCACAAGTTGTCAGGGGATCACCATCCCTACCCAATCATAAGTAGGTTGCACAAGAGGGGATGTTTACCAATCATGTTGTAGTAGATTGCAGATGTTGCCAGGAGATCACCATCCCTATCCAATCATGCTTATTTTTGTATTCTTTCTAGGCCAAATTGTATTCACTGATTATGTGGCTCACTGTTGCATTTTTATTTCAACACAGTCGACGTTTTCTTCTTTATCCTTCTTATTTGTAATATATAAAAATCTATTTTCCTTCTTGTATTTCATAAAACATGCCAAAAAAAAAAAAAATCTTTCTAACTTCATTTCTCTTGATATAAGTGTACATGCACTTACGTCTATTCCCATCAAAAACACCAAACCGGATGATGAATATCTCACTACGTTCGCTTTGGTAGAGGTCACCGCTTGTTTTGATTTAAGGGCTTTCATTCCCTTCTTTTCAGTCCCTGTTTATATATATATATATATATATATATATATTCGCTGTTTATTTTATTTATTTATTTTCAATTTCAGTCGTGCCTTCTTTAAAAAATTCTCTTCATGTAGGGGATTCTATTAGTGGACGATGTGTTCTCTGTGTCGTGTGCACTATTCTCGATTACATAGCCTATAAAATGAGCTACCTTTAGTGCTATAGACAGTATCGTGTTCCTCTCCGCCTGAATACTCTTATCGGACACCTAACTCTTCTGCTCATTATCAATGCACTTTTAAAAATCCTTAACGCAATTTTAGCGTATCTATCTATCTATCTATCTATCTATCTATCTATCTATCTATCTATGTGAATCAGTTCCTATGTATTTATCTATCTACTTGAATCTATCTATCTATCTATCTATCTATCTATCTATCTATGTGAATCAGTTCCTATCTATCTATCTATCTATCTATCTATCTATCTATCTATCTATGTGAATCAGTTCCTATGTATTTATCTATCTACTTGAATCTGTTCGTGTTTATCTATCTATCTATCTATCTATCTACCTATCTATGTGAATCAGTTCCTATCTATCTATCTATCTATCTATCTATCTATCTATCTATCTATCTATCTATCTATCCGTGTGTCTGTCTCTCTATGTGAATTCGTTCCTATCTATCTATTTATCTATCTACTTGAATCTATCTATCTATCTATCTATCTATCTATCTATCTATCTATCTATCTATCTATCTATCTATGTGAATCAGTTCCTATGTATTTATCTATCTACTTCAATCTGTTCGTATCTATCTATCTATCTATTCTTCTTTTTCTTCTATCTTCCGTGTCTCTTCAGGACGTGGGCGATCCCTACAATTTCCCGTGATTTGAAGCAAAGTGTAATTTGTATATATTTTGTCTAATCCGAATCCCTGTTCTGCCAACCATTCACACAAGCACGTCAGATAGGTTAGGTGCAGCTTTCGTATTTACCTTTTGCCTTCAGTGCCTGTGAGCGTCAAATTTTCCAAGCCCTCTTTCCTCATTATGAGCCGTTGAAATTTCAACTGATAATATAAGTGTCATTTTTGTTTCTATTTTTACACTTTCTTTCTTCTATGTGCTCTGTCTCTTCAGGGCGTAGGCGATCATGGCTCTCCACAATTTCCTATCAATCGTAACTCTTACTAAAAGTTGCATTTTTGCTATCACTCCTAATCCTTGTTCTGCTCATCATTTACACATGTTCATTAGGCAGGTTATGCGCTGCTTTCTCTTGAGCCTCTTGTCTTCAATATGCCATGTGAGTGTCAAATTCTCCAAGCCTTCTTTCCTCATCATGTGCCAGATAAATGTTCACTGTTTCTCTTTGATTCGAAATATAAATGTCCATTTTGTTTCCATTTTCTCGGAAACTTCATCATTGTTCCCATGTTCAATCCATGGTATTCTCAGCAACCTTCTGTAGAACTATATTTCTGTTACCACAAATCTCTTCATCTGTACCGTCCTGGGTATGACGATAAACTACATCCGCGTCATTCGCGATAAACTATGTCCAACAGCAAGGCATCTGATCAGGAGGTTTTGAGGAGTGTGTGACCCCCTCTTAATTGCTGGTGTTCTCAGTTTCACCCTGACCTGGGGTGGTAGCGCCTGTTAGGGTCCCAGCTATGGGCAAATAGTTAACCCCCAAACTGGAGTCAAAACACTACGAAAACGTAAAAATTGGTTTTAATACCAGCAATACATTTTTGAAAAAAAAAAAAAATAAATACCAACAATAAAAATCTTGTCGCCATTAAATAACCCATTGAGGTGTTGATATGCCGTAAAACAAAACGAAACACGATAAAACAAAAACAAAAAAAATGACAAAAAATTACTAGCGATACAGTTTTGTAGAAAAAAATATTATCAGAAATAGATTTTTGAAGGAAAAATATTACCAGTAATACATTTTTGAAAAACAATATTACCAGCAATAAAAATCTTGTCAGCATTAAATAACGCATTGAAGTTGATATGCCGTAAAAAAAACCCAAACCAAACCAAACCAATCTTCATCTGTAACGAGATTGTCTAGCATTCACTGCGATATAAGAAGTCTGATATTATATACAGTCCAGCACTTTCTTTTATTACAATTTACCTTGTGAATTACTAAACTAATTAACTTTTACGATAATAATTGCATTGGTTATTTATACTTATGTGGATATACTAATTTTAGACTTAAAATTAATTATTTGTTCACAAAACACAAAGATACTATATACTGATCGAACATTTATCTACTTATATCAAGGCAATAGGATATGACGCGCCATCGGTTTCCCGGTTTACACATATAAGTCGAAATTTTTCAGTCATATGGACTGAAAACTACAATCAGGCAAGCTTATGAATACTCCAACTCTATCTCTTTGGCGCAATTGGTGACATTGAGAGTTTCGTCGCAGGGTTGGAATCTCCAAGACTACCCCCCCCTCATAGTTAAGCTGTGAGCTGCTTGGGAACAGAATCACGGCTCCGCGTTGGGTACTGTAGTAATGAAATATAACAGTGGAAGTAGAGCGGATATTACACTTTGATCACTTATGTCGGGAGAGTTCTAATCCGAGACAGAATGTTCAAAAAAGAGTTTAGTAGAAGAATAAGATATCTTTCATAACAGGCGATGAAAAATGGATTACATATAACAATGTCCAATGCTCAGTGAATTGACAAGGATAAATCTCCGACCCCCCCCACCAAGAAGAAAAACAATGTTACGCCTGTAGGGAGATCATCAGTGTAATATTAATTTAGCATTCGTAAAACGCACTGTAATGCTAAATGCACACTTGCAAGTCCAGCAGTTGCAACGTGTTCATAAAAGTTTGCTTGAAAAGTGCTTTATGCTCAAAATAGGAAAAAAGTTTTTTCTCCTCCATGACACTGCAAGACCGCACACAGCAAAAATAACGCAAGGGCGCATACAGCAAGAATAATACAAGGTGGCATACAGCAAGAATAGCGGAAGGCCGCATACAACAAGAATAATACAATGCAATATACAGCAAGAATTACGGGAGGCCGCTTACAACAAGAATAACGCAAGGACGCATACAACAAGAATAATACAAGGCCGCATACAACAAGAATAACACAAGTCAATATACAGCAAGAATAACGGGAGGCCGCTTACAACAAGAATAATGCAAGGCCGCATACAGCAAGGCAGCATACAGCAAGAATTTTGCAAGGCGGCATACGGCTAGAATAACTCAAGGCAGCATACTCAAAAATAATGCAAGGCCGCATACAACAAGAATAACACAAGGCAATATACAGCAAGAATAACGGGAGGCCGCTTACAACAAGAATAACGCACGGCCGCATACAGCAAGAATAATACAAGGCAGAATAAGCAAGAATTTTGCAAGGCGGCATACGGCTTGAATAACTCAAGGCAGCATACTCAAAAATAACGCAAGGCCGCATACAACAAGAATAACACAAGGCAATATACAGCAAGAATAACGGGAGGCCGCTTACAACAAGAATAACGCACGGCCGCATACAGCAAGATTAATACAAGGCAGCATAAGCAAGAATTTTGCAAGGCGGCATACGGCTAGAATAACTCAAGGCAGCATACTCAAAAAATAACGCAAGGCCGCATACAACAAGAATAACACAAGGCAATATACAGCAAGAATAACGGAGGCCTCTTACAACAAGAATAACGCAAGGCCGCATACAGCAAGAATAATACAAGGCAGCATAAGCAAGAATTTTGCAAGGCGGCATACGGCTAGAATAACTCAAGGCAGCATACTCTAAAAATAACGCAAGGCCGCATACAACAAGAATAACACAAGGCAATATACAGCAAGAATAACGGGAGGCCTCTTACAACAAGAATAACGCACGGCCGCATGGCAAGAAGAATAATACAAGGCAGCATAAGCAAGAATTTTGCAACAAGGCGGCATAATGGCTTAGAATAACTCAAGGCAGCATACTCAAAAAATAACGCAAGGCCGCATACAACAAGAATAACACAAGGCAATATACAGCAAGAATAACGGAGGCCGCTTTACAACAAGAATAACGCAAGGCCGCATACAGCAAGAATAATACAAGGCAGCATAAGCAAGAATTTTGCAAGGCGGCATACGGCTTGAATAACCAAGGCAGCATACTCAAAAATAACGCAAGGCCGCATACAACAAGAATAACACAAGGCAATATACAGCAAAAATAACGGGAGGCCTCTACAACAAGAATAACGCACGGCCGCATACAGCAAGAATAATACAAGGCAGCATAAGCAAGAATTTTGCATAACGCATGGCGGCAATAGAATAACTCAAGGCAGCATACTCAAAAAAATAACGCAAGGCCGCATACAACAAGAATAACACAAGGCAATATACAGCAAAAATAACGGGAGGCCTCTTACAACAAGAATAACGCAAGGCCGCATACAGCAAGAATAATACAAGGCAGCATAAGCAAGAATTTTGCGAGGCGGCATACGGCTTGAATAACTCAAGGCAGCATACTCAAAAATAACGCAAGGCCCGCATACAACAAGAATAACACAAGGCAATATACAGCAAAAAATAACGGGAGGCCGCTTTACAACAAGAATAACGCACGGCCGCATACAGCAAGAATAATACAAGGCAGCATAAGCAAGAATTTTGCAAGGCGGCATACGGCTAGAATAACTCAAGGCAGCATACTCAAAAATAACGCAAGGCCGCATACAACAAGAATAACACAAGGCAATATACAGCAAAAATAACGGGAGGCCGCTTACAACAAGAATAACGCACGGCCGCATACAGCAAGAATAATACAAGGCAGCATAAGCAAGAATTTTGCGAGGCGGCATACGGCTTGAATAACTCAAGGCAGAAAAAAAAAAAATGCAAGGCCGCATACAACAAGAATAACACAAGGCTAGAAATACAGCAAAAATAAAATAACAAGGAGGCCTCTTACAACAAGAATAACGCACGGCCGCATACAGCAAGAATAATACAAGGCAAGCATAAGCAAGAATTTTGCAAGGCATACGCATACAGCTAAGAATAACTCAAGGCAGCATACTCAAAAAATAACGCAAGGCCGCATACACAAGCAAGAATAACACAAGGCAATATACAGCAAAAATAACGGGAGGCCGCTTACAACAAGAATAACGAATAAGGCCGCATGTAGCAAGAATAATACAAGGCAGCATAAGCAAGAATTTTGCCAAGGCGGCATACGGCTAGAATAACTCAAGGCAGCATACTCAAAAATAACGCAAGGCCGCATACAACAAGAATAACACAAGGCAATATACAGCAAGAATAACGGGAGGCCGCTTACAACAAGAATAACGCACGGCCGCATACAGCAAAAAGAATAATACAAGGCAGCATAAGCAAAAGAATTTTGCGAGGCGGCATACGGCTAGAATAACTCAAGGCAGCATACTCAAAAAATAACGCAAGGCCGCATACAACAAGAATAACACAAGGCAATATACAGCAAGAATAACGGGAGGCCTCTTACAAAACAAGAATAACGCATACAGTACATACAGCAAAAAAGCATACGGCAAGAATAACTCAAGGCAGCATACTCAAGAATAACGCACGGCCGCATACAGCAAGAATAATACACAAGCAGAATTTTGCGAGGCAACAAGAATAACACAAGGCAATATACAAGCAAGAATAACGGAGGCCGCTTACAACAAGCATACATACAGCAAGAATAATACAAGGCAGCATAAGCAAGAATTTTTGCGAGGCGGCATACGGCTTGAATAACTCAAGGCAGCATACTCAAAAAAAATAACGCAAGGCCGCATACAACAAGAATAACACAAGGCAATATACAGCAAGAATAAAGGCCTCTTACAACAAGAATAACGCACGGCCGCATACAGCAAGAATAAAAAGGCTGCATAAGCAAGGCGGGGCAAGGCGGCATATGGCTAGAATTCAAGGCAGCAACAAAAAAAATAACGAATAACAAGAATAACACAAGGCCAGCAAAAAAAATAACGGAGGCATACAACAAGAATAACACAAGGCCGCAGGCAAGAATAATATACAAGCAGCATAAGCAAGAATTTTGCAAGGCGGCATACGGCTA